CAGGTCCTGGAAAGTTCAAAGCAGCATTCCAGATCATGCATTTGCCATCAATGCCCTGAATGCACATGTTGCGCAAGAGGTTCTTCTCATCAGCCTTCCAGTCCATAGTGATGGTTTGCGGCATCATGTCATCAGGGCCAACCCAGACACTTTCAGCATCGATGTGTCGCAAACCTCTTCCACTGGCAGTCAAGTGATCCGCCTCAAACAGAAACAGGTCGTCAAACTTCTTCAAGGCCAAGTTATCAACCAGCAAAGAAGGCCGCTCGCAAAGCCAACCTCCAGCATCTCCCCGCAAACCATAGGCCGACAAAACATCCCTTGCAGCGGCAGGAGGAAACCGCTCATCCATGGCCATGACAGGACCCAGCTGGTACACCTTCCACAGGTGCTCCACCACCGCCGGGGCGCGACCGAACGCGCCGGGAGGCCTGAGCCTAGGTGGCTACTAGCGATGGCCTCCAACCTGATAGCGGTGGTCTCCAAGGTAGAAGCGACGGCCTCCAACCTGATAGCGATGGTCTCCAACCTAGAAGCGGTGGCCATCGCTATCAGGTTGGAGGCCATCGCTCTTAGGTTGCAGGCCATCGCTATCAGGTTGTAGGACATCGCTTCTACGTTGGAGGCCTCCAACCTACTAGCGGTGGCCTCCAACCTAGGAGCCATGGCCTCCAACCTGGAGCGATGGCCTCCAACCTAACCCTAAACCTCCTAGAACCCTTATTTAAGGGGTCCCCTTTTTTAAAGGAGTCTGCACTTCAAAAAAGACACCTTAAAAAGACACCTTAAATTAAGGAGTCTAGACTCTTTAATTTTGTTTGGTCAATTCATGAAGAAAGCCTGTAGAGGATGTGCATCAAATCCTTTAGAGGATTGTCTGCTTTGGTGTGCACCAGTATGTTTTTCATATCTGTAGCTTTTGTCTCAAAATCTTTCAAGCCATGGCGTCTCAAGCTTTTGACCCTGATTCTCAGCCCTCTGCTTCATATGAGGAGCCTGCAACCCAGCTAGACCCTGAGGTCTCAGTTGCAACACAGCTAGACCCTGAGCCTGAGCATGAAGTGGACTCTGTCAAAAAAAGGAAGTCTGAGCACCTAAGTGGACTTGAACCAGACCGACTGAAGTGGGTGGGCGACCTATGCTTTGTGCAAAGAGGCATTGATGGACTCATCTACTGTGGCAGGGACAAGATGTACCTGTCAAGCTCCAAGCTTGGACTCCAATGTTTGACGTGCAAGTGTGCAAGGGGCAAGTTGGCTGACTGCCTGTGCACCTGCCATGCTCTGAAAGAGCACTATGAAGCAAAGTTCACTGTTAACAGGAAGTGATATGGCTTCCTGAATAGCAACAGGGTTTTTTGAAGTGAAAAAATGCATCCTAAGGAATCCCAACCCATTTCTGCAAGTGAAAAAATGCATCCTAAGGAATCCCAACCCATTTCTGCAACTGCTCTCAGGTCCTTGCCACTTGTCTCAGGTCTTCGTGTTCGCCTTGGACTTCAACCCTTTCTTGGAGACAGTCTTGGAGGAGCCTGGCCAGAAGCGGGCGCAAAGGGATTTGCAGGCTATAGATCCTTTGTAGGATTGTTGCAGGTCATCCTTCCCAGTCTTTTGTGGGAATCTGGTGTCTTCTTTTGTAGATTGCTGTCCTTTGTAGGTGCGCATGTTCTTTGGTAGGGTTGCATGTCATGTGTAGGTGTGTAGGTTTTGCAGGTCCTGTGCAGGACATGTCATGTGTAGATTGCCATCCTTTGCAGGATCACGGCTGTGGAGAATTCCTGTGGAGGAAGTGGTCCTTTTGAGGATTGCTGGAACACCAGTTGTAAAGCAGAGCCTTTTGCAGGACATGGTTTCTTGGCAGCTCTTTGGAGAGCTGTTTGTGCCTGCAGCTGCTTAAAGCTTCAAACTTTCCAAGCAATTCGATATTGTATTTGGCTGTGCTGTCCTCAGATGGGCACTGCACCAAGTACGGTGGAGGAACCAGCTCCTATGGAGGAGCAGTCCTCCTTCTGGAGCTCAGAGCTTGCCCGCCAATATGTGCTTGCAATGACTCAAGCAACCCAATCAGGGCAGACAGACTGGTTGCGAGTCTGCGCATGCTGCGGACAGGCCTCCTATTTTCGACAGACAGACAGTGTGTATGAAGCCACACTGTCAGTTGAGTTTCATGAGGATGCAGCCCATGGAATTGGGGATTGCATTACAGTCCTGGGGAAAACCCGATGCGCCACCAGGTACACCTGATCTGTGCCTGATCCCCGTACCAGTTCCCAAGGCACCAGTTCCCAAGGTACCAGTTTGCAAGGTACCACTTCGCAAGATGACAATGCTGGCAAGTGGAATTGGCGCAAAAAATCTGGGGGAGGCCAAAAGAGGAAGCAATGGATCAAAGACGTGAAACAGGGAAAACATCCCAAAACAGGCCAACCACTGCAGTGGAGGAAGCAGTGGTTCAAAGATGCTGCTGGATGCTGGAAGTGGGAGTGGGAAAAGGTGGAGGAATCCAAAGCATCTGGTACGAAAGATTCCAAAGCGCCTCCTGTCAAAGCTGCAGACAAAGCTGCAAAAGAAAAGGCAGCTGCAGTCCTCCAAGAAGCAGCAGCTGCCCTGGATGCCTCCTCAACGTGGCCACCAATGCCAAGCCTAATTGTGCCCTCTAGCTCATCAGGCAGCAGTGCTGGACATGGTGGCTCATGAGTCTCTTTGGATGACCTTACAAGGTGGCTGCAGCTCGAGATGCACCACCACCTCGAAGTGGACCTACAGTCATTGACTTGACCCCTCGCATTACCTTGACCCCTGGGGTCAAGACGAAAGCAATGCCTCCTATGCCTCCTTGGCGCAGAACAAGGACTCGAGCTATGCCGCTGCCTCCACCACAGCCAAAGTCAAGTGGCATCCCCAGAGCGCCACAGAAGCCTCCTGATCCTGAAAAGGATGAGGACTCGGATTTGAACTAGTGATCCCAAAGATAAGCCTGCTGCTCAGCATCCAGCCTGCTGTCAAAAAGGATGCTGCCACAAAGTCAAAGAAAGATGAAACACGTTTTAAACAACAATCCTTTGAAGAAGTGGTCAGAGTTTGGCCATGACATTAAAAAAAACCTTTGAAGGATTTGTCAGAGTTTGGCTGCACACCAAAACAGTAGATTGATCCTTTGAAGGAATCACACAAAGCAATAGCTCAATCCTTTGAAGCAGTCAGAACATGTCTCAAAGAAATACATGTAAGTGCCAATATATTTTCCCAGCCACTGTTGAGAAATCTGTTTGCAGTCAGTTTCAAAGCTGTTGATGTGATCTGTCTCTTCTGAGGTTAAAACCCTTCTTCAGAAGGTGAAGTGGCTCAGGATTCAAACAGCTTTGCCACGAAACAGAAACAATAGCTCAGTCCTTTGAAAGACTCAGAAGATTGATCCTTTGAAGGATTGACACTTTGAAAGATTCAAAAAGTTTCCAATGATCATTCAAGCTGAAACAATAAACAATAGCAAAATCCTTTGAAGGACCCAGAAGCTTTCTCAGATGTTCTTGTTTGGGCCCTGTTGAATCCTTTGTTCATTCAATCTTTGCTGAGGTCAGCCTCCCTCTGCAGAACCTTTGGTAGTGTGGTGGCTCAGCTCAGGAGTTGAGAGAGTTTGGCAGTAGACAAAAAAACCTATGTGAGTTATATGTATCTTTTAAATGATTCAGAAAGCTACCCATGCAAAAAGCTTTAGAAAAAACGCCTGTGAAAATCCTGTGAAAAAGTCATTTTTCACAGCCTGTGAAAAAGTACTTTTCCTTTCAATTTAAAAGGAAAAGCGCTTTTTCACAGGCTGTGAAGACATGACTTTTTCACAGGATTTTCACAGGCTTATTTTTGTTCACAATTTTTTCAGACCTTTGGAAAGACTGATGTCATGTCATCATGTCTTCAATTATAGCCCAAAGGAACACTAAAAGGAATATAGTCAATGCCATCATGTTGTGAGTCATTTAGTCAATCCCTGTCACAGTTGTAGAGATGATTTGCACTTGGTGAGGTCACAGTCCTTCTTCTCAACCTTTGAAGGTTTGGTGGCTCAGATCAGGAGTTGATAGCTTTGCATTACGCTTCAACACTAGATGTGTTGATCCTTTGAAGGGTTCAAACAGCTGACCATGAAAACCAAGAGCTCAATCCTTAGAAGGATTTGGTAGAGTTTGTCATCGCACCAAAGTAGTAGATTATGTAGATTGATCCTTTGAAGGAACCCACATCTGCAAAGAAACAATAGATTCTAAGTATTGAAGTCTGGGTCAGACTTGCTGAGAAGCATGTTTTCAGTTCTGTCAATGTCAAAGGCTGCTGATGTGACTTGCCCTTTCTGAGGCCAACCTTCCTTTGCAAAACCTTTGGTGGTTAGGTGGCTCAGCTCAGGAGTTGAGGGCTTGGCATCAGACCTAAACAGTAGATTGATCCTTTGGAGGAATGGGGCGCTTTATCAAAAATCGCTAGGTTCATGTCTTGCAGTCAATGTAAAAACTGTTGGTGCAGTTTCTCAATTGTTGTGTGGCACCCTTTGAAGGAATGATACCTTTTATCAAAGAATCATTGTTATTACTATTTCAGTCTACGTAAAAGCTGTTGATGTGATTTGTCTCTTGCTGTGTGGCATTAGTGCTATTCTGCTATTCTTTGCCCACCTTCCTGTGCAAAACTTCAGCTTATTCAGTTTCAAGCTACAACTTGACTAGTGTTTTCAATCCAACCATCAGCCGTGGGCAAAAAGACTGATGCCAAAGCTGCTGCTGCTCCCAAAAAGCCTGCTGTCAAAAAGGCTGCTGCCACAAAGCCAAAGAAAGATCAAGAACCAGAAGGTTCCACCCACAAAGATCTCAATGCGATGCTGAATGGCTTGAAGTACAGAAGGGGTAAGAAAGGTGAAACAGAGGCAGGTAAGATCCTTGAGGTGGGGTTTCACAAAAACAAATCTATTCTTTCCATTTTCACAGACCTGACCCCTTTCAAATGGTTCAAATGGCAGAGTGCCCCTGCCAGGCCTACAACCAGATGACCATGGAGGACAAGAAGGGTTTGCTTGAGCGCTACAAGACTGAGGGTGGCTTGAAGAACCTTCAGTGGGTCAATGAGTACTTTGAGACAGTGACTGACACCACTGAGCAGAAGGATGTGGCTGAGAGCGGTTGGATGACTCCAGGGCAAATCTTTACTTTGAATGGTTTCTCCTGGGAACAAACCGAAGGAAAGAAGAGAGACAAGATGTTGGCAGCTCTTCTCAAGGAGTGCTGGGATGAATGTGGCATTGACAAACCGGATGAGTGTACCAAGGCGCATGCTCTGCCTGAGCTTTCCAAGTACTGGTACAGCAAGCAGAAACATGTCCAAGAGGACAAAAACAAAGTCGACCAGACCATGAAGCTGGGCACCAACCTTGGCATGGCCACCATGCAAAAGGCGATTGGCAATTCAGCGTCCAGCAGTGATCCCAAAGTGAAACTTGAGAACCCAAGCTGGGTGCAGCTGAACTCACAATTGCAAATTGCAGCTGCTCTGAAGGGCAGACTTGAAAAACAAGTCTTCGAATGCACCGCCTGTCAAAAAGACTTGGAGGCCAGTGGCAAGCCAGAGTTCAAAGAGTTTTTGAAGAGTGTGTCAGATGCTCTGGGCAAAGCCGAGGCAGCGCTGGCTTCCTTGAGGACCAACTTGGCTCAGGGAAAGGATATGTCGGTCTCCAGTGACAAGACAGACTGCTCCACTTTGAAGAAGGCCTTGGAGGGTGACACCAACAATGGCTCCATGCACTTGGATGGCCTGAAAGCTTTGTGCAAGCGCCTCAAGTCATTTTTGACCTGAGTGGAGGGGGACCTGAGTTTGCCCATAGAATTCCATGACTTGGATATAGCTCAGAGAGCACGTGTCTTCTTCAATATGCTTCTGGAAGGAAAATGTTGTTCTGCCTGCCTTCTTGGGCTACATGCTTCTAATGTAGTCCTGTAGTGTGCATGGTGAGAGAAAAAGAACAATTGCCCTTTGGAGGACATCACATCCAATTTTTCTTTGTCCTTTGGAGGACATCACATCCAATTTTTCTTTGTCCTTTGAAGGACATCGCGCCCACATAGTTTGTATAAAACCAGTCCTCTCCATGTCCTGGTCATGCTCAGGCTCAAGTTCATTTTTTGTTTTCATTCAACAAATGTCGACGCATGGAAGAAAACACTTTCTGCAGGAAAGACTGGACCTGCACCCCAAAAAGAGGCTGAGAAACAACATAGCTGACCTACTGCTGGATGGAAGTATATCTGGTCAAAGGGCACAATCTTTGTTCCAAGATGCACATTCTGCTGAAGCTACAGGAGTTCAAGATTTGGCAACCCACACTAGCTGCCCTGGCAATTCTTTGCGAAATTTGCAAAGAAGACTTGTTAAGGGTAGCAAATGGCCTCCACCTATGGAAGTGCAAGTGCCATTGGAGAACCTGAAGACTCATGCTGTTTATGAGTAGACCTGAATCATTTGTTGCAGATCAGCGACCTGGGTTTCAGGCCACCAAATTCTAACAGGCATCTTTGAAGTGAAGTTGATAGGATTTTTTTTTTTGCCACCCTTTCAAGATTCAGGGGAGAGAGTTTGGTATTTGTGCATTCACTTCAGGAATCCTTTGGAGAGAGTTTTTCACCTCAGTTGACACACCAGGAATCCTTTGAAGGATTTGAGGTGGAGTGTTGGCCAGTGTTGCCCAATCCTTAATATTTTGCATTAAGCTTTTACACAAACCTTTTGGAAATCCTGTCAAGGATTACTGGAACCTATGAAAAATATTCAATCCCATCAAAGATTTTTGAATCCTGTGAAGGATTCACTTCAAAATTTTATGAAAACAACAACATCTAGACACCTTAAAAAGACACCTTAAATTATATAACGAGTCTAGACTCCTTCAATTTTTCTATGTCAGACTCCTTAAATAAGGGGTCCCACTAAATAAGGGTTCTAGGAGGCTCAGGGAAGAGCGATGGCCTCCAACCTGATAGCGATGGCCTCCAACCAAAGAGCGATGGCACCCAACCTGATAGCGATGGCCTCCAACCTACTAGTCATGGCCTGCAACCTGATAGCGAAAGCCTCCAACCTAAGAGCAATGGCCTCTAAACTAAGAGCAATGGCCTCCAACCTGATAGCGATGGCCTCCAGACTAAGAGGGATGGCCTGCAACCTACTAGCGATGGCCCCCAACCCAATAGCGATGGCCTCCAACCTACTAGCGATGGCCCCCAATCTGATAGCGATGGCCCCCAATCTGATAGCGATGGCCTCCAACCTAAGAGCGATGGCCTCCAACCTAAGAGCGATGGCCTCCAACCTGATAGCGACGGCCTCCAACCTAAGAGCGATGGCCTCCAACCTAATAGCCATGGTCTCCATCCCAATTGCAATGGCCTTGCATGAGTTTGTGAAATGATCAAGTGTACATTGCCATCCCTTCGCATGGGGCCCAGCAGAGTCCGAGGGACTAAGGCCAGAATGTTACACTGTCCTGTTTACGCCACCAGCCAGTGCCTTCAGGAAACTTCGCAGCTCTTGTGGTGGTATATTTTGTGGCGATGCCAGCTCGAACTGTAGTGGGACTCCCAGAGCGCAGAGTAAAGCACTTCCACGAATGAGTAGGGCCCCCAATATTGTGCCTATCAAACAGTTGAACATAACAGGCCAGATCCCAAACAGACATGTTGTCATTGGTTGTTGACAATCTGTGTTCTCAAATCAGAGCTGTAGTGTATTTGAGTCGAATTAGTGAGTTGGAAGGATTTGAACCAAACTTTATCAACACTCGCCAGTTCAGGTAAGTGTTTGGTGCGTACCGACCTTCCCGCCTCTTGGATTGAGTGTCTCGAGACTCTGCTGTAGATTCTAGATGGTGATCCTTGGCTGTGGAGCTTTAGGAGGCTGTATAGTCAATACTAGAAGAGGCTACACTTTCTTCCTCTAGAACTGAGGGTCTGGGAATCTCAATATTATAGCAATGAGAGCCCTGGGCTCAAACAATCGTGTGGTTGAGGTGGTTCATCACATGAGGGACTTCTATTGGTCTTTTTCACTGGCAAGACATGCCTTGCTACAAACTGATACGCTTGGTTTCAATGTATGTATATGAGCCACGGTCGAAACACGCGATGACCACTTTAGTAGAGAGGGGTAGGTTTGTGCACAAAACCCTGCAAAACGATAAGGTTCACCTCAAAACCGATAACCCCAGCGCTGTATATGATCATAGGTATGCGACGAACTCAAAACACTGTAAAACGATAAGGCCCAACTCAAAATTGATGACGTTCATTTTTTAGTTGAAGAAGAATAATGAGTTTTGACCGTCCCTCATATACTGTATATATATAATTATATATACATTATAATAAAAAAAATATATATTTAAATATGTATGCAAAAGCAGAACATTTAGTTTTGAGCAGCTTCAACTCTATGGCCGACTGCCTGTCGATTAGAGAGCCGTTTACGAGGAATTGGAGTCTGAGTCTCTGAGGTTGGTTTATTTGGCCCTAACCATCCCTGTTCCTCAAGCTGATGGCAGCTTGGCACCTTGGCTTGGTCGGTTTCACAGCCGCAATGTCAGCCTGGTTTTGCAGGTTTCTTGTGATCCAATCCGATAAAGCTTCACCCCGGTTTGTTTGAAGGTTTGCTTGACTCATTGCACCCCTGTGGTGCTTTGGCTCAGCCTTTTTGCCGAGGCTCGCAGGATCAATTTGGCCTTTCGTATCTTCATTTGCTCGTGTGCAGGTGTCCTGCAGTGGGGGGGTCTGGGAGCCTTGGAGCCAATGAGAAGAGCCAGGATCCCTCACGGTTCACGCAGATTACAGGGTCCAAGGCAAAACAGATCTTCCAGTCAGAGTGCTGCAATGTGTGGGCGAAGTGGTGAATTAGTCGCATCCCCTTAGACTTTTTTCCCGGCGTGAACCATCATCATTGAACTCGGGTGTCCTATGGGCAGAGAAGTTGCAGCAGAAATCCCTAATTTCTGTGAGAACCACTAAGTTTCCCTAAAAATCTAGGAACCAAATCATTAGTGCGAGCGTGAGCTATCCTGCGTCCATATGTAGCAGCTAACTTAGCCTAGTACTCCCTTTACTTAAAAAGAAAGTGGTTTTGTGAATTGCAGTGCCGACGGCAACAAAAGACAGTGACGCTGGAAGACGCCATGTTGCACAACGAAGACCGGGACGTGAACGGTGAGAAAATAGGCCTGCTGGGCCGCTGCTGGATTGAGATCGGTGAGCGGGCCTCGTTCCTGCACTTGGAGAAGGTTAACAAGGCGAGCACACTGAAACCTGGTGGCTGGTGGCCGGTGGAAGACATGGGTCGCCTGGAAACATGGGATCTGCGGACCTTAAACTTTATTGTAATTGTTTGGACTGGTGTTTTTTGTAGTGCAACTCTTTTTCCAGAACAGAATCCTACAAGTGTCCCACGTGCGATGTGTTGTCCATTCCTGACGGAGCAAAAAAGCATTGGTGGAGCGATCACCAAGCGCAAAATCATGCGCTCACATGACAGACCGGTTTTGAAACCTGTGACCCGCAAGCAGTACATGTCGATGTAGGAGTCGCTTTTGCTCACCTGTATCGCATGGCCCCGTTTGCTTTGATCATTCCCCACTTACATTTCAGTGGATCTGATGTATTCTCCAGACTTCAGCATTTTTTGCTTGACTATTGAGTAGTTTCATGAAGTTCATCTGCCCAGGGGCTTAGGGGCCCTGATTCTGCAGGATCTCACCAAGGAGAAGGTCCTTCGATATACTGCAGAGCACGAAGTTGAGCACCTGACCTGAGCCAAAACTGTGGAAGTCTAAAGACGTCCAAAGCATTGTATTTGTAAGATAGGTGATTGGTGATGTGTTTGTGTTTAGTTCAAGGAGTGGTTGCTGGAGTGGTTCTGTCCTTGCTTAAACGCAACCTTAGAGGCTTGTCAGATTGGCTAGTAGGGTGGAGGCCATCGCTATTAGTTAAGTTTCCCCCAAAAACTAGGAACCAAATCATCAGTGCGAGGGCTTCTTCAAGGAAGCGTCCCCCGCCGCCTTCAGGGTGGCGGGGGGAGCTTCCTTGAAAAAGCGTGAGCTATCCTGCGCCCATAGGTAGTAGCTACTTAAGCTACTAGCTACCTCTAGCTACTACTAACTACCTCCTAACGGCCTACCCCCCCAAAAAAGAAACAAATATATACATATGCCCTATTTACTTGTCAGGCCGCGGGACATCTCCGGACAGAAATTCCCAATCTGGTCAACTATGCCCTTTGCTCCTAGTAGCTTCCTTGCTCCTAGTAGCAAAGGGCAGGAGCCCCTAGTAGCGTCCTTGCTCCTAGTAGCGATGCCCTTTGCTCCTAGTAGCGATGCCCTTTGCTCCGTTCGTAGCGTTCAAGATCATAGCTGGATCTTTGAACTCCAAGGCGGGGCCCTTATTCTTCGCACAGTGATTCCAACGCAACGCAGCTCGGGCGGCAACCAGAAGTTGTATCGCACAGTGGGTGCGAGACGGTGGATGCTGAGAGAACTGGAGAGAGAACTGAAAGAGATGGTGCCATGAAGACGTGTGAAGCTGTAAAGAAAGATCCTCTTCCATTCATGCATGCTGCAAGATCACGAACATCAGCTACCTGGAGTTCTTGCTTTAGTAAGGAATTGGACAGGGGGTCCGGTCCAATGCACTAACTCTGATTTTTGAGAGTTAACACCCTCCCCCCACCTGCGTACTGCAAGCATCGAGCATTGAGCTTTTGCCCCATATCATTTGATCTTCATTCGTTCATCACCATCACCAGCGACCAATACACACAAACAAAAAAACAAACGAAGAAAGAAAGACAGAAAGAAAGAAAGAGACAGACAGACAGACAAACAAACAAACAAACAAACACTCTCTGAACTGCTATCACTATCAGTTCCTCCACAAACGGGTCGATGTGAGGACACCCGTGATGCCATTGCCGGACGACCTCGCATCACAGCTGACCAGCCACGCAAGCCGGCCCTTGAGCAGTGACTTTGACTGCTCAGAAAGCCTGGGAAGTTCCGAAGGTGTCGTAGTGTCTTGCCTTTCCTTATCCGAGGTTCAATTGGGCAAGAGTAATACTTATGGTGAAAGAAATACTTGCAATGTGGTGGTCAATCGGCTATTCATACAGGTCACTCAACATGGACTCAATACCGTCGCGCAAACATGGAATTACAAAACACCGTTGATTTTAGTGGTTTGTCCATCGGTATTGGATTGTTTTTTGTTTTAATTATTGTTAATTATAATTATTGCAATGATTTGCTTGCGATGTTTGATTATGATCAATGTAAGCATATGCGAAATCAATATGGCCATTATGCAGGACAAAACCGGATGACTGGAGGACAGGTTGCCAAAACGATGACTTACTCGGTCCGACTGGGTCCGACTGCCTCGCCAAGGCATCGTTTTCACTCCCGGAGCAAGTGGCCACTGGGCGCAAGGGGCCGAAGGGGCCGCAGGGGAAGCGGAGAACAGGTTGCGGCGTTTGGGTTCGGCCTTTCGTTGGTCCGCCCAAAACCGAAGTATATAAATCAGGTTTGTACGTACTTTTTTTGTAATGATTAGGCTGAAGCCTGGGCCATTGGGGCTGAAGCAGATAGGCATTTGGAGACTTTTGTGAAGGACACTTTTTTCAGTTGTGGCCTTGCGGCCGGGCTGTGAATCAAGACGCGCGAATCGGGGATGTGGCTTTTGAGAGCAGTCACTCTTGCCATTCACTCATAAACGCATCTACAATCTACAAGCAGCGCTAGCGCTAGTAGCTTACACATGGGCGGAGAGCGATCACAGACCGGCATTTGCACCTTGTGACCAAAAGAGTGAGGTCATGATGCGCCAGTGGGTATGCAGCTCAAAGCGATGACGCTTCGCAGTTCGGTGAGGGACGCGACATGAAGGGACCAATTGAGCTGGTGAAGAGCAAGGCCGCCACATGCAGCCAGTATACTCAACCAACCGAACGATCCCGCATCCTGACAATGGAGGGCCACCCAGAAGCGACCTCATGGAGGGCCCAGGTTGCGGGGTGTTTGGCTGAGTGCCAGGTGTTGGAGGTTTTGATCGTATCCTTTGGCTGTGTTACAGGAAGCCTGATGTTGCTCTATGGCAACAGTAGGTAATTAACCAGAAACCAGAATGTTGGTCACCAATCATCACGTTTGGAGTAATGGTCCTTTTGGTAGCTCTGAATGCCTCAGACTCAGACTCTTGCTTTAGATGCAAAGAACAAAGAACTATTTTTCAGCATGCTTGGACATTGCCAGTTGTACAGAGTTTACCCAATCACGACAAGGCAAAGCTTTGAAACATAACAAACATATAGTATCATTAATGATATAGTAAGATAAACTTTGATTCCATACTGTATTGCAAGTCCAGAAACTTTCGAGGTTCAACTCAAACCTTATTATTAGTGTAGTGATGTGAAGTGTTTCTTGGGAATTGGGTGCCGCATGCACTTCCAAGGAGAGCAGTAGCTGCAGAAGAGAAATGGTTGATCGATTGGTCGGAGCTCTCCTTCGAAACCAATCTGATTGGATGCTTGACATATCTTGACATGAATGCAATGCCGACTTTTCGTTCGAATCAATCGAACAAATCACACAACAGTTGTCCAAAGCTTCAGACTAACGACGGTGCGTTCTTTGGGGTGAAAGAGTGCGTACTCACTGAGATCGTGGCGAACGCAGCACTCAAACCCAAAGAAGCGAATGAATTCGTAGCTGGAAGCGGTGCCACACCTGACTGAATTGTCTCGACGTTTTTCTTTAATACCGAACCCCATACGGCTCATGTATTTTTGGACTTTTTGATCAGTGTGGTGCAAACGTGCCGAGGAAAGGGAGGCTTTGCGCTTGTCATGGAAGGGAATTATGGAGGTTCGGTGGTTCGAGTGTTTTGCTTGGATAGTGGCTTCCTGTCAGTATCGATTCATGGCAAGATCCAGCCAATTGTATTCTTCCAATGAGCTCTCATGGCGGCATGGCTACAGTTTTCGCTGTCATTTTGTGACATAGGACCTAGGACACATGTTGTCTAGCGACTTTAGTTTTACCGATAATCAGGGGAACCCATCTCAGAAGTTGGTTATGTAGCCGCATTCTCTGGATTGACAAAGATTTGATCTCCTCTACTCTGATTCATAGGAGAGGAGGTGAACAAAGATGTCTGCACAGTAGTGATATCAGGGCCATGCACAAGGGGGGACAGCAGGTGAACATCCCTGTTATGTCTTGTTACATCAGATTATGTGCAATGGGCTCCTTGAGCCGAGAAGATGTGGTTGTTGGTGTCCCAGCGACTTCTGTGTTGGTTTTCCCTTCAGTGTCATGGTCCAGTATTGTTCAGAGGCTCATCAAGCTTTTTTGGCAGGCATATTCAAAAATAGCAGATAACGACATGTAGCTATGAGCCGTTTAACCAACAGTTCCTGTCTTCCAGGTGCGAAGGTGGCTGTGAAGCTCCCGCAGCGAGATCAACTTACCACGTGGCCCGGAGATTTGCTGGAAAAGGGGATCCTTGGAAATGTAAAGTCCTTGGCGGGACAACCTTATGAATTTAATGCTGGTCCATTCTGCTAGAATCAGTGTGAGAGAGAGAGGGAGAGTGAGTGAGAGTAGGTGTACTGCATTTGATTGCAAGTGATTCAAGGTTCTACACTCGGGTTGAAGCTACCCAGACCTGGTACCATGCAATGAAGAAAACCGATGGCATGCACGGTGCACCGTTGGCTTTGCGCGTTTCCACTGACATGGGTGAAGGGTCAAAGATTTGCCTTATTTTGCCTTTCTGCAGCTCACCCAGCGTCCCATGTCCATTGGCATTTCTTGGATCGCACGTTGGTCATCGCAATACTTCACGTCCAGGGTCATCGGAAGCTTAACCCTTCAAGCCGATGAAAGAGACTGTCCTAGTTTCTGAGAAAAGACCTGAAATGCAGGGTCTTTTTTGCACCCAAATCCTGAGGTCTGTGGAAGTGGTGGACTTTTGTGGGAAGGAGCTTCGCGTTTTGCGCCGTTTGAGACATCCGTACCTTTGACCTGCAAAAAGGCCAAGAAGGGGGCAAGTCATGCTGGCAAAGCATTTGGTTGACCAATTTCCCCGATATTCACCTAACCGAACCTATATGCTTCACACTTTTGAGACACTCCTGCAAGAGTGGAACTAACTGCACGTCACCGTGCTGTAGGGTAAAGCAGTCGTGCTCAAGCTCATTTTGTAGGGTTTTGCCATTTGCGACATCAAAAACTCCCTTTGGCTGAGGTTTATTGTGACCTTCTACGGTGCTTGCATCGAAGAAACCAACCGGATCGTGCTCATCGTTGAGGAAGTCTTGCTCAACCTCTGTCAGTTGTCATTTAGGGTGAGGCATAGGCTCCTCACGTGAATAGCGAAAACATGACTCAGCTCTTGCCGGGGAGCTTCAGATTTCATGTTCCTCAACATGATTGAATTTGCACGCGACTATGGCTATGTATGCACAATATACTTGCTGCACCCAGGCCATCCCTGCTCCACAAGTCATAGGCCCATTGATGTGCATGGTCGTGTAAATTCAACCGTTGTTGACTAGCAAGCCACCTTGACATGTGTCCTGTATGTTGGGACTTCAGCGCGCAAGTGTGGTCTAATCACCCCATGCTTTTGCATTTCTGTGATATGCACACCTAGCCTGCAGAACAATCCGTTTGGCGCCAGGAATTTGTGGATGGCTACAGCCTGTTTGAGCTTTGGATGTCATTTGCCGGGCCAGGGCGCTACCAATTCTTAGAATGATTGTCCTGTTTTTGGAGTGGGGTCCTTGGGGCTTGCGGCCCTTCTTTGTGGACTAAAGCAAGCTAGGGCGAGCTGTGTCCCCAATTTCGACCTTCATGATGATGAAGGCGATCCCCCGGAAATTATTCACCTGCTTTAGACCTGAGGATGCAATTCTCAACAGCAAGATGGAGTGTCTCAGCAGCAATGTTTTCAGCCATGCTGAGTGAGCAATGATTTGTTAGTGGCTGTCCACTACACCGGGACTTTGGAGGATAGCAACCTGCCAGAAACTGAAATACTGACCGTTGCAAATCTACAGAACGTGCCTATATCATCCCGATGCAAGCATGTGACTGCGTCCATGGGACTGAAAAAGATGTATATACACATCACAAACCAAATCTGCAGAGGATAACAAACTGTCCAACTGGTGTGATGCATCCGCAAGAGTTTAAACTTCGCACGCATTCCATTCTGGGAGCTTTGCCACTGAGGCTGTCAGAAGCAAATCGTCGTAGCATTTTGGAGAATCTGGGATTGATTCCAGGAGTTGTCCTAGGCTTAGGCAGGAATTCACATCAGGAGAAAGCAGCTACACCCTGTTTCTTTGCGAGGCGGCACCATACTCAATTATACAGACTGCCTGGAGCAAGTTGGCAACTGGCTACCCAGTGAGTGCTAGTGGTGTTGCAGGTCCCTGTTCATTGCATTGAACATCCACTTCTTAGATTCTAGCATACCACTTGCTGGCAAGTCAGACTCTGGATTGCCACACTCCGCAGCAGAAATCACAGAACCCTGATGTGTCGCAGCAGAAGCTCTTTGTTTGGTTGCTGTAAGTTGTGCGGTTCCAAACCAGCTTTCCCCAGCGGAATTCTCTTGGGTGGAATGTAATGGAGGTTCGAAGACACGCAGATTGACATTTTGAGAAGCTATTTCTGATTGCCTGAGCTGTTCTATGCTTTGTTGGCCATGGGGTTGTCGTGAAGAAGGACAACAGTCAGCTGAAATCCAAACAGGTTTTTGTAGAGTGAAAGGAAGGCCTTTGAAGGACCTGCAATTTATATATAATGATATATTATGTATATATATATATACATATCATCATATATCCAGAGTATTCTAGAACCATCTAGAATCCCAATTCGCTTCGTAGAGTCAGCACTGAAGGATTCCCAAATTGGATGCCCCTATGTATTTCAGTCCCTATATGTCCTGGTGGTCTTGTCCTTTTGAGGGATACTACACTCTGAACGGTTATGCAACTGCGAATTACAACAACCCACACCCCGGTGTGTCAAACATGTCAATGTCAACGAAGGATAGACATGACTTCCTTCAACCTGTAGCTGTGAGTATGTACCACAAATACCGAACAAATTGTTACCGTAACTATTTATCGAAATGACTTAGTGCAGTAGTTCGGTTCACACTTGGGGTTGCCGAAGAACTCAACTTTTTGCATGCACAACTATTGCAAGGAAACCCATCAAGTGACCATTTGGGGCAGTATGACTACCCTCAAAGTAGTAGGAGTTGATACAATCACTGCAATAGCCCAATGGTTTATTCACTCTGGTTTTCGTGCCGTGAGAGATGATGTCTCAGGCACTGACTCGCTGACATATCAACAAGATAACACTGGCAAATCTGCGAACACCCCTCGAGGGGTCTTTGGTATCAATTTGTAACATATGCATTTTTTGTAACACGTGCGTTTTTACTGTTACTGCCCAGAAGCCGACTTGCCTCGAATACACCGGCAAATGGTGTTCCCATTCTCGACGAAGCCACACTTAAGGAAGCTTTGCAGAGCTCTGGTCTACTTGCATGATCAGGTGCTCCGGACCTACAACATTCTCACCGAGTCTTCTGCCAAACGTCCACATTTCTACTAAGCCTGCCGCTCTCAAATCGCGTGGGTCCTGCGTCCTCACGCAAATACATGCTAAAGCAGGATCGCGCCCAGGTGATCATTGAGTTGTTTTCGCTATCGCCGCTGTTAGCGACCCCAGAGGAAATCGCGATTTTATGGTGCTGTCAGGTTGATGCTTCCTTGTTGATGTGGGGTGGGGTGGGGTGGGGCATGTTATCGTTCACTTGCACTTGCGTCACGAAGTTGATGCTTCGTGGTAGATGTGGGGTG